CCCAGAATTCCCCAGCCAGGGAATTCTGGGAGTTGAAGTCCACACGTCTTAAAGTTGCCAAGGTTGAGAAACACTGCTTTAGATACAGCACTTCCATTTCCATCAGCACTAAGATCATATCAATAGAATATTCTTGCTCTCTGTTCCATCTTCTAGAAAGGCCAGTTCTTCAGAGCAGGCATTCCATCGATGGTTCAAAACTGATGGAGAAAGGGGAAACTGCACAGCCTCTTTGGATCACGTTGGCACTACAAAAACAGAAGGGCTTTCGGGAGCAGCAAGCAACGCGCGACGAAAGGAGGCAAGCCAGAGAGGCTAAACAGGCTGAGAAACTGGCTAAAGAAAATGTAAGCATCCAAAAACAGACAGAAAAGGATTGCAAGAGTATAGCGTATTTGGGTTTATTTCCCTTGGTGTCTTCTGCTAGCAGGGGCAGTGAAACTGGTCAGATAAACCAAAGTACTGTTAAGTTTTTACATTAAATAAATACATTAAACTCAAGTAGAACTCAGAGTCTAGAAAAAGAGAAAGCCAACAGTCCTAATTTAGGAGGATGGTGGCTTAGAGAGATGGATGCAACCCTCTTCATGTCCCATTTACTTATTTTAATTTATTTATTAAATGTGCATGCTGCCAAACCTTCTAGACTCATTGCAGCTTACAATACAGAGAAAAGAGCTTCTACAATATAATAAAAAGCAAAGAAACAACATGCAAAAATAATACACATTCCTTATCATGCTAAAGATAGAAGAATCAAAGTCAAGACCATGCTTTGCATTGTATCCCGAAACCTATTTATTTGAGAAGCCAAGGAGATGGCCTTGGGGGAAATATTCAGAAGCTGTAAGGGAAACAAAAGCTCAGAAACACGCTTTGAGCTCTGGAAAAGGAGAAAGAATTAGGTAGAGACTCAGACCGGCTCCCCCTGATTCTCTGGGGTAATAAGAGGGAGAGAAGGGAAAGCACAGGCAGACTTGCAAGATTCTGATACTCTAATCTGTCTCAGGAAACTGTAATTCTAGTCGTCTTGTGGAATTTGTTTCTGATCTGGACAACCTCAAAGAGCTGACCATTCATAATCAATGCAGAGCCTGCAAGATAGGTGCAATTTATGCATAGTGATTAATGCTAGTCAATTAGAAAACTGAATATGGGACCAAATGCAGTTTCTGAGTGGTCTTCAAAGGCAAAATTATTATTACAAGTTATTAATAATAATTTATTGAATTTATTATGGCCAGGGTCTCCAGAAGATGCTGCCTGGCTTTATCCATTGAAAATATCGATAACGAGGTTCTGTAGGAAGAGCATGATGCCCATACACACCCACTGCACATAATCCTTCCCTGTGTGAGTTATAGCACCTGGAAGCCTGCAAGCATTGACAAAGAATGCTTTCTAACTAGTCCTTTGTCCACACTTTGTACTTTTGAGTCAACTTGTATGAGTATGCACTGTAAATATATTAATATTTAACACATGTTTATACTGTGGCTTTTTATATTAGGCCAGCATAAACAACCAGGCAGATAATAAAAGCAATAATATGAGCAGGTCAAACATACTGCAAAAGTCCACTGCCTCGGAAGAAGAGAAAAAAATTGAGACGGCGACATCAAGATTTGAACGCAGAGAACAGTTCAAAAAATCTAACACCCTGCCTTCATCTGTCACAGGTATGATTTGCATTTTGTGCCACGATTGTGGCTGCAGTTTTATTTCTGAGAAGGTTGAGTATGTAAGTCTCCATTGGTTCACTTTGCCTTTTATAGTTCCAAAATATCAGGATCTTTCAAAGGTTCAGGATTTTTGAAAACCAACCTTTCCAAAAGAAGTAATGAACAGAATTTTATCGTCACAGACCTGGTGAAGGGACTCAGCTGTTCTCCCACCTGGAGGCATTTTATACAGCCCTTGTCATTTGCATCTGCACACCCACCATGAATCACCCAAAAAGTAGGCTTTGTTGCAAGCCAGCCATTATATAACTATTGTATGTACTGTCTTAAGTGTACATGTGTGAAGAAAAAACACGGCCCTTGGCCATTCCACGTTTTAACTCTTAGCCCAAGGTCTAAGATAGGCTGCCCTTGGGTTGAATTTATGAAAGGATAAATAGACAAACAGGGCTGAGGCAGAAGATTTAGTAATACACAAGCTAAAAGTCAAACATCTTGGTCGAGAAAATAAATGACAGATTGCTTAAACTAAGAAACACAGGAGCGTGTCTCATATAGAATCCTCCTGCTTCATATTGGTTCCTCGGGTCACATGGCCTAACTGAATAAGAGCTGTAGTTCGAGGTCAAGCCAACAATATGATTGGCATAGTAGAGATTGGCTACCGTTTCCACAGTTTCAACTATCCTCAGGTGCAGAGAGGAAGATGGCTGGATTCTGCTACCAAAACCAATGGGTGATGTTTCCTGCCCTCCCCAGCCATACTGCATCATTCATCTACGATAAGACAAAGAGAAACCCACAATCATACACTATTAATTAACATCTTATTGTTCATCTTAATACTAGTTGCTAAGGAATAGGTGGGGGATGGTGCCATTGCACTCATGTTCTGCTTGAGGGCATCTGGCTGGCCATTATGGGAACAGAAAGTTGATAGAAAAGGCTTTTGGTCTGACTCAGCATGGCTTACAGTTCATGGATTATTGCCTTGTAGTGGGAAAGAGGCTTGTGCATCTCAGTGATATTATAAGACTATTATTGGGGGTGTACATGCTCAGAAGGATCACCAATAAGAGGCAGGCCATAGATGAGGGATCAGCCTAAATATGATCCACTGGTGAAGAAAATGGCAACATACTCTATCAAGGAACCAAAGGGATAGTCACCACAACAATGTCAAATGATACTGGAAGGTTAGGCCACCTCTGCCCCCAGGTCAGAAGGTATCCAGTAAGTACAAGAGAAGAACAGAGGGCAAATATGAGTGCATGACTGTGGCTGGACTGTAGCAGAAAGGACGGCCAGCTTCTCACATGTCCGGCAGCAAAAAGAAAGTTTGATGAAAAATATGTATACCATTCATTTATAGAATGTCAGAACCATGAATTAAAGCAAACATGATGATATCACAGCAGAAACATCAAGACTGAACAGTGACATTCTGGGAATCAGTGAACTGAAATGGATTGAAATGGGCAGCCACATTAGAGGTGGTTCTACCATGGACAAGAAAATCAAAGAAGAAATAGAGTCGCCATTGTTCTTAACAAAAGAGTGTCCAACTCAGTGCAGTTTTTACAGCACCTTGTCAACACACCAGAAAAAGTTGGCAGACTCATTATAAGGGAACAGAATGCTAATGTTGGAACTAAATTTGAAAATTTAGTTATTGGGGTATGAAACAAAGCAGGAGACAAACTAATACTGTCTGCAAAAAAATTTCAAAAGTTATAGCAAACATTTTTTTCTAACAACCTAAAAGGTGGCTGCACATAAGAATATTGCTGGCTAGACAGCACTGAAATCAAATCAATTCTATGCTGAACAAGAAAAAGTGCAGAAGCTCTATACACTCAGCAAAAACAAGACCTGGTGTTGACTGTGACTCAGATCATGAACAATTTCCTGTAAAAATTACCTCTTCAGATAAAAGAAACAAAATAATCAGACCAACAAGATACCATTTCTAATATTCCATATGATTACGCTGCTTCTGATATGAAAATAGCTGAAGGAAGGCAGAAAGCAAAAGAGAAAAATTTGCCCAACTAAAACACTGAAGATACAGAAAGAAGAGCAAGAAACCAGGAGATATATCCAACTAAGCAGTGCAAAGAAATTGAGAATAACATTCAAATGGGAAGGACAAGAGCTTAAATTACAGAAATCAAGGGGACCTTTGGGAACATGATAAAAGGCAAGGATCTATTGCAGAAAAAAATATAAAGAAGAGATGGTACAAATATATGGAAGAACTGTACAAAAAAGACCCCCAAATAACTCACTGTAGGGGTGATTACTGAATTAAAATAAACATTCCGGAGAGTGACGTTAAATGCCTCCTAGAAAATATTGCTAACAACTGTAGTAGGAAAAACTCACTTAATAACGTGCTAATGATTGGAAGGATTGAAGCTAGCAAGTTACTGTGAGTCACTGGTCCCCTACTATTAAAAGAGACCAGTGCCATAGACTGGTTAACCCTTAAATAAGGTTACAGAGATTGAAGATGAGCTTATATTTACATCTGACCATTGATAAAGAATGGGTTTGCAACTGAAAACACGTACAGATAGAGATACACAAGAACCTGGGCATTGCTATGTCCAGGGAGAGAACACTTTGTAATACAACGCACTTAGCTTTTGAGAAATATAAATGCCAGTTGAGCTAAGGGGTAGTCTAACAGTTTAACCCTGGATCCCATTTAGAATGGGAAGATTTATAAACACTGTCTTTGAGAATGTTGTGGTATATGGAGACATACTGTTTGTGGATCAAAGGCCATTCATTGATGTAACAAAGGTTATAACTCCAGGAAAAAATATGTCATGAGGGAGTAATCATGGCATGCCTATGAGAAACTTGGTTTAGCACTTAAGGCTATTCTGGCTAGATACATTGGTTATTACATTAAGCAAGCAAGCAAAGAAAAAAATATTCAGGGACCAAGTATGAGTATGTAGGCAGCATAAAGAACAGCAAAAATTCCTTCCACACAACAAAGCTTCAGACGTTGATAAAATACCAGCTACTTAATGGATGTAAGTAGTAATGCAAAACACAGCAATGACCAAGGAACTGGAGAAGATACGTTTTATTCAGATGTAAAAAAAAAAAAAAGGCACTGCTACAGAATGCTCAAATAATTGCATTTATCTGACATGCTAATAAGATAATGCTCAAGGTTTTAACATTCCAAACTTTAACAATGCATAGACAAGAACTGCTAGATGTACCAGCTGGATTCAAAAGAAGCAAAGATATCCAAGGTCACATTGTTAACTCCATTGGAAAATGAAAAAGGCAACAGAGTTCCAAAAAGATTGTTTATTTTTGGTTTATTGATTATACTAAGGCTTTTGGCTGGATAGACCACAAGGAATTGTGGATAGACCTTCAAATGTGGGCATACCAGGCAATCTCATTTGCCTATTGAAGAGTTTGTATGACAATCAGAAAGTGACATATATAACAGGATATGGGGCAACTAAATAGTTTAAAATTGGGAAAGCGGCACAACAGGTTTGTATACTGTCACCTTATTTATTTAACATATGTAAAATATATTGTGATAAATGTTGGACTAAAAGAAGTAGAAATTGGAACTGAAATTGCTGGGAGAAACATCAACAATTGCAGATATGCTGATGATATCACGAGTGGCTGGAAGTAAGAATGATTTAAGGAATCTCTTGCTGAAGGTGAAAGAAGAAAGGGCTAAGGCCAGTTTGCTGCTCAGTATTTTAAAAAAACACCCACTAAGATTATGGAAAGAACAAAGCCAACCCAGTGGAAATAAGTAGAGAATAAGCTGAAATAGTAACAGACTTTATCTTCCTAGGGTCAAAAATTCACAGGAATGGTGACCATAATCATGGCATAAACAGACATCTGCTACTTGGGAGAAAGACTATGAGAAATCTAGATAAAATAGATCTAGAGACATCATACTGAGACCAAGGGTAGACACAGACAAAGCTATAGTTTTCCCAGTTGTAACATATAGGTGTGAAAACTGGATCATGAAACAGGCTGAACAAAGAACTGTGGATACATTGATTTGTGCCACTGAAAAAAACAATTGAGTATACCTTAGGTTGCAAGAAGAACAAATAATTCAGGAGTAGATGAAGCACAACCAAACAGCTCATTGGAAGCAACAATGAGGGAGCTAAAGCTTAAATATTTGGGATCCATAATGCAAAGACTATGTGAAAGACCCTGATGCTTGGAAAGATTGAAAGCAATTGAAAAAAAGTCTGTCAGAAGACCAGATGGCTACATATTATTGTTGATGACACAAGCATCAGCTTATAAGAACTCAAAGAAGCAAATATTTACAGAATCCTGATGAAGTAATGTCTATCAGATCACAAGAAGTCAGAAGTGATGAACGACTGAACAACAAGCCTGAGAAAAAAATGTGCATAATTATTTGTATAGTCATTCTATGCTCAGAGGATTGTCAGTGCCTTCAAAAAATTCCTTTTCTGTTTCTAGCCTGTTTCTAGCTGAGTTACCTGCAGGCATTTGGTCTCACTGCAGCCAATGGCCAATGCCAACCTACCTTCATGAAAGTTGTGATATCTTCTGGGAGTGGTTCTTGGTTTCTTGCAGTTTCTATGCATAGTCAGAGGATGGAAGTCCACTGAAAACCTAAATAGATCATGGATAGGACAAGGTTCCAATTTTGGAGAAAAGGAAATGGAAGAATATATAAGACAAAGTGAAATCCCACCCATCTTTTTCTCAGATGGAAGCAAATTCCAGTCCAAACTTGTTTTTCTAAATTGATAGACATAGGCTGGATACAAATGTGGCAGATGGTTAAGGTGTTAAGTGACTATAAGCTATTATAGTAACCAAATGACGTGATGGTATAATGAATAGGTTGTTCAGTGAAGCTCATTGAAGAAACGGCCTCTAGATTATTCCATTGCCTAATTACGGCTTCTTTCATATAGCATTTAAATGGTACCATTCAAGCTTAAAGGTTGATTCATTGATTAAAAAACAAGCAGTAGGTTTGGGTGATAAAGGCAAGAGGGAGTGAACTAATTTTATTTCATGGAAAGGTAGCGTACAATAGGGAGGCCCACATAAAATTGTATGTACTTTATATAATTTATAGTTGCTCTGCTAGTAACACAAGACAACATTAAATGATAGAGCTTATTCACATAAAAGAGCCATAACCGTAAGAATAATTTATTGTTGTGGAGGAAATAAATTAAGCCCCACAATCGATTCTCATTCTATAAGCTATAGGACTGAATTCTGCTTCCAAATATCAAATTCAAAAATACTTTGGATTGCATCCAAATGAAGGCAATCTCTGACCAATTAACAGAAAGTTAAGATCCTCTACATACAACAACTTAGTACTCTGCCTAAGCATCATTGAACCGTTTACTTCTCTCCAAATCAGATGAACAGAATAAAAGGAAAATTCTGTGCAATCATTTACACGGCCTCAGATGAATTGACCTGCACCTCTTCCTGGAGCTTCTGAGTCTGGCAAGAATTCAGTGTACAAACCTCTTTAATCAATGAATGAGGTTTACTGCCTGTTCCTATTAAGATGGGAATAATCTATACATGGAATTTTGCATAGGCATCTATGGGTAGAGCAAGAGGGGAAGTGATGAAACATGATTATGATATCAGACCTAAATCTCATACTTACATTCACTGTCACGGCCACAAGTACAAAACAGAGGTGATGTCATGATGTCACCACATTCATCTTAACGCTTTATTTTAATCATCATGGCTAGTTCTGGATGCTATGAAATTCACTAACGAAAACATAGCATTGAATTCCACCCAGATATTATCTTCAATCTCAGTGCCATAATTGATATGGAGCACTGTAATGTTGCCAATTGGAATATTTTGGGAAAAAAATTAAATGTAGTTTTTAAGATTGTCCAATATATTTTGAATATCATGAATGCAAGGTTACAAACATAGCAGAACTAAAATGCTAAATAAAACAGTAAGACAAATTGTTTAGTAGGTGTGTTAGAACAGAATTTCTAACAAATTCTTAATACAATTTAATTTTCCCATTAAGAAACTGACAGATGTTTAATGTTAAGTCATAAAATAATAGATGCATAAGGCTATACTCTTGGGGTGTAATGATGTAATATATTTGACCTAGTTTCCAATTATCCTTTTTTTGTGTGGCATTTACACAACTTTTAAAGCTAATCAGATGGAGATGAGTTTGCATTACACCAGCCAGATTAAAATAAACTAGGTTTAACATTGACCAAGTTTAGCATGCTGTGGAAATGCAGCCATTAGGTCCTTAAATGACCTGGTTAAACATCTTATGTTTATAGGGTAAGCACGTGTAGGATTTTAAAATCAGTTTTGACCTTTACTTCCAGATGCAAAGCCAGTGCTTTTCTTACTGATAAGGATGAATATAGCTGCTGACAGAGACCCATTTTGGTGTAGTGGTTAAAGGCACCGGGCTAGAAACAGGGAGACTGTGTTCTAGTCCTGCCTGAGGCACAAAATCACCTGAGTTGGGCTAGTTGCTGTCTCTCAGTTGCCAACAAAACTGCATGGATTTGTCCGTGTAACTTCTAGGAGTCAAGTCTGACTTGAAGGCACATAAATAGCTGCTGACAACAGTTTTAAAATTGGCACACTTTTTGGAATGTTTGCATTTGAAGGAAATCAATTCAGTACAGGAAGGAAGCAGTTCTCTGAGTCCTACTATATATTCCTTGAAATATACCCATATTTTAAGTGTTATACTGTCATCTTCAGAACTTTAGAGCAGGCCTGGGGAACCTCTCACCATCCAGGAATTGCTGAACTACAAATCCCAGCAACTTCTATCACTGGCCATGTTCAAGGGGGCTCTGGAGAGCTGAAACTCTGGAACATCTGGAGGACCACACATTCCCCATTCCTAGAAAACAAAAAATTAGTGAGCATAAAAGATATACTGTGTCTTCTCAGATAATACTTCATGTCCTCTATAGCTAGTCATGATAATGGATCGTTTTGAAGAGACAGTATGATCTCTGCAAAAAGACATTTAATTGAAGAAGAAATTCTTAGTTTGGGTAGCAAATGATTGTTCTTTTCTAAGTACTGGTGCTACTGGAAAAGAGATAATTTAAAATCTCCCTTGCAAATGCTATCTAAGAGTTCCCAGCAAAAGGTGCTGCTGCTGCTGCTGCTGCCACTCCCGGTCGATCTGAACTTGTGACACCCTTGGTCTGTTTAGTTGAGGAGTTCTAGCTTTTTTCTTGTAGATGCCTCCCTGCATCCCAGCCCTCTGACAAAGGGAAAGGAAGGTGTCTTGAAGCTTCTGGCCCAAAGTCTAGAACTTAACAGTCCTTGTGCCCGTCCTGAAACACGCTGTAGTTCCACAACTGAGTAGTCTTGCGTGTGGGAAGAGTTTAATGGGAAATCCCCCCTTTAAACAAATGAAGCCAAATCTCTAGGTAGAACAAGCAGTTTCCTGCAAAAGACTGGAAAACAAGGAAGCCACGATCACATAAACAGAGTTCAGAATGAAGTCAGAGTCAGTATAGGTAATTCAGTTACTTATTATCTGCTTAAATAAGCTTGGGCATTTCGGCACATGTTCAGAGTGCACTGTGAATAGTTGGAGTGGAATCATATGGGACTCTTGCATAGGTGGTGTTAAGCAAGCTTTCCTTTTTCCTCCTGTTTTCTTTTCCCCTTGAACACTATCTTCATTTTAAATGAACGGAGGAGAAGGGAAAGCCAACCTCTTGGTGGAAACTGACTGCCGTTTTGCCCAGTCGACAAAAGACTCCGTCATCTATAATGTTAGCCAGCAAATCAAGAATCATCTGTTAGCTTCCTGCTTTCCTAATCATCCTTGGTGCAAGCTAATTTTCATCAGTTATGCTATCATATACAAAAAAGATCATATGGGAAACAAAATATGATTTCTGTGCATTTAGGCATCTCAGTATGGGGTCAGTTTACCAGTTGCTTTAAGAGGCAGTCTTATGCCATGCCCCAAACCCAAGAATATGTTGCAGTTAGGCAGACTTTCAAAGCTGAAATCCAGGAAAGGTAGTTTTGTTTTTCCAACAGTTAATGTGTGGCCTTTAACTAGTAAAGTCCATGTTTAAGCTATTGTATGGA